GATTGGAGCTTGCTAGCGCGTCTCTACGGCCGCGCCGACCCGTGCGCTCGCGCACAGAGCGACCAGTCTGTTTAGCACAACTGATGCGGCCGCGATGGCGCTTATTGACGGGAACTTCCCAGCGCGTCTCAAAGGCCGAGCTGGCACGCGGGCAGTTGGTGCGGGTTGGTGGCTCGGACGGGTGCGGTATCATGATGACGTCGCCAACGGCGGCAACGATAATGGTAATAGCGATGGTGGTGGCGATGATAACGATGTCGACGGCAAGGTCAATGACGGCGCCGATGCTGGTGACGACGATGACGATGATGATGCCCATGTGTCGGTGATGGTGGTGATTATGATAATGTTGGCGACGATGGCAGTGATTGACGGTTACGGTAACCTCGGTGATGCGATGGCGTTGATGAGGGCGGTGGGGAAGCCCGCGCACAGCAATTTCAGTATACCTGGCACTGCCTTGGTGAGAAGCATCATTTTCTTTGATTTTATGGAGAGTTCTATCTAGGAACGCATCGAACACGAGCGGTTCAGATACAACAATCGACGCGCGTGCGGGGCGGCGCACACATGTGGCCCGCATGCTGCGAAGTGATACACCTTCGCGCACCAAGCGCATGCTACATCAAACGCGGGTGCACCGAGTTGTGAGATGAAGGGTCGTTGTTCTCTAGCAGGTCGGAGAGCACTTGGTGCAACATATGTAGCGCCACCTTTGCGATACACTCTACGTCGTGCGGGCCATGTCGTGCAATGGACCGGGACCTAGCTATGGTGTGCAACATATGTGGTGCAATCGATGCGTTGGGCCATTGAGACACTTGATGGGCGTTTTACACCAATGGTGGTAATGTCTCGACCAAGAATTCAGAAATTGATGACAGGTTATGAAGCACATACGTTTGACAGTGATTCGCATATTTGGCAGCTTCTGCTTGAACGCCGCGTTAATTGATGCATTGGCATGTTGACCGTCATGCTTACACATTTTGTTCGTGCTCTTCACAACGTTTTGGAGCCTGTTTGAGGCTTACGCGCGATCGTTCATAAGCCAGCATGTTTTTTTGTTTGTCGTCTGCGACACGTACAAAAGGCGACACGTACAAAAGCCAGGGTCCGTGGTCACATGGTACATGTGGAAGTCATATTGGCATGCCGTGCGGAGCCACCATTGCCACTGCCGCAATCTACACAGATCATGCGTACTGGAACGGACGGGCTATGAGTGTTCCGTTACAAAGCGTCATATCTTTGCGTGCCGAAGCAGTGTTGGGCGACGGAAGTCACGTTTTTGTTGTGCGCAGAGTACTGTCGAGGGATGCCCCAGTGTAGGGAGTCGTGCGCCATGCGAGTTCCAAGTGGCAGCAATACATTTTCAACGCGCTCGTGTCAGACGAGATGGACTGGTCGACCTGGCGGACTCGAGTTGATCGTTCACGCCGCTACAGGAACGCACCAGCGCCCTTGACCATGCGTAATTACTTGGCGGTGGAACCATCTAGCCGAGAATTGCTTCAGGCCAGCCGTTCAGATGAACCTGTGCGCAGGCCCCTTCGTGATGGGAACGACACACTCAGTCGGCATTTTCACGGTTGTTGGCTGAAGTGTTCGGGGATTTCGTTAGACGAATTTTGTCGACATCTTAGTACGCGCAATACGTCTCTGGGCTTGCCTAGGGATGAGATGAACGAACAGAAAGGCAGCATTTGCAAATAGGCACGTTCGAAGTTCCTTTCCCATACGGCCGTGTTGCATTCAATCTCGGCTCTACCGATACTTGCCCCCAGAGCAAATTGAGGCCAAAACGTGGGGGTGTACGAATACGGGCCTTCCTCCCTCCTCCCCCCCTCCTTCCTTCTTCATCCTCACCACTCTCCTCCCCGCTCCAGCCCTCTCCCTTTCACTCCCCCTCCCCCCCTGTCCTCCGCCGTCACTGTTGTCTTCTTCGCCGTCGTCTTCGCTGCTCTTTCTTCTTCCTGGACCTCCTGCCTCTATGTGGGCGCGCGCGAGGCCAGCCTAGAATCCAAGAGCCCCCCCACCCTCCCCCGTTGCGCCTGTCCTCTTCCATCCCCTCCCTGGGAAGGACCTACCGGGGTGCGCCCACCTTCCAAGGAAGCGCGCAAAATGGTAATTTCCCCGAGGTGCTACCCCTCTTGTCCTCCCCCCCTTCCTCTCCTCCCCATCTGCCTCCCCCCCCTGCCTGCCCCCCCCTCCCCCTCGCCCCCCCCCTCAGCTCTCCTCTCCCCGTCCCTCTCGTCTCCCCTCCGCCCCCGAGGCGCGCCCGGGTCCGACTGGGCGCGCCTCGCGCACATGGGCGCGAGAGGGGAGGGGAGGAACGGCCGCGTCCGCGACCACGAAACGACGACTAACGACGGCGACGGCCGGGGCTCCAGAGGCTCAAAGAAGGCCAGAGGCGTCCAAACCGATCCAGGACCGACGATCGACGGATCTTGGATCGACCGATCCTCGACCCTGGAGCCTGGAGCCTGGGTCGACGACGACTGGTCCTGGATCGACCGGTGCTGGATCGTTGATCGAAATCCGCGATCCTCCATCGACCGATCCTGGATCGATCGTAATCCTCGATCCCGAAGAGGCCGACTCTGGATCCTCGATCCTGGATCGACCGATCCTCGATCCTCGAGCAACCGATCGACCGACCCTGGATCGACAGGTCGGCGGCCCCGAGGCGCCGCCCGGTCCCGGCACAGGCGCGCCTGGACGAGGCGATTGGGAGGCGGGTGTTCAGCTTCCGGGACCTGGCGGCCATCCTGTCCAACGAGGACCGCGCTCTCGGCAAGTGCCCTCCACCTCCTCGCGATGCAGACGAATCACGACGTCTTCTTTTGTTGTTCAGTTTTCGGTCTCTGGTAACCTTCATTAGACCCCGGATCGTCAAGAAACTGGTCAGGGTGAAAGAATTGTCCCAGGCCATGGGTCGAAACCTCCAGGGGCCCATGCTGCGAACAAAAACACAACATCGGAGGTCTGGGGTGGTCATCTTCTACAGCGAGCGAGGACCTCGCCCTCGGCAGCGGGTGGCGGCCAGGATCAAGGAAGAAATGATTGCACAAACACGAACTTTCGGAGCTCCGCGCATAGACTTCCTGGGTCTACCAGGAGGGGTGCGTCCGGCGCCGATCCAAGGAATCCGCCCGGAGCTCCGAATATTTCACTTCACGCCGTTGTTCCGCATCAGAGGAGGCGAAGAAGGTTTAAGTCGGGCGTGTCCCTCTACAGGAAGAAAATTCAAAAATAATGAAATTGCTCCGACGGTCGGACCCCACATGAAAATCCTCTCGGCCTCATACTTCCCAAGGGAAGTACAAGGCTCCCGCCTCATACTTCCCCAAGATTCATGCCTCAGGAGCCCAAAAGTGACGACAGATGCATGTTTCCAATGACCCGATCGGATTCATATGAGCTGCGGGCCCCATAGGGAGGGGGCTCCCGCCTGAGACTTCCTCGCAATTCACCCACAGACGAGGCTTCTGCCTCATACGTCTCCCATTTTCAGGCCTCAGGGGCCCGAAAGTGACGACGGTTACAGGTTTCCGATGACCCGCCTCGGATTCGAACGTGAATTGCGGGCCCCATAGGGAAGGGGCTCCCGCCTGAGACCTGAGACGTCCTCGCAATTCCCTCACCGACGAGGCTCTCGCCTGATACTTCCCCCAGATTCAAGCTTCTGGAGTCCAGAAGTAACGACAGTTACAGGTTTCCGATGACCCGCCTCGGATTCGAACGTGAACTGCGGGCCCCATAGGGAGGGGGCTCCCGCCTGAGACGCCCTCGCCATTCACTCACAGACGAGGCTCCCGCCTGATACTTCTCCCATTTTCGGGCCTCAGGGGCCCAAAAGTGACGACAGTTGCAGGGGGCCGGTGACGCGCCTCGGATTACTCAAATGAGCTGCGGGCTCCATAGGGAGGGGGCTCACTCGCAGACGAGGCTCCTGCCTGATACTTCATCCATATGCACGCCTCAGGGGGCTCAAAAGTGACGATTGCAGGAGGCCGATGACCCGCTCAGATTACTCACATGAGCTGCGGGCCCAGTGACGACAGTTGCATGAGGTCAATGATCCGCTCAGATTGCTGACATGAGCTGCGGGCCCCATGGGGAGGGGTCTCCAGTCTCAGACTTTTTGGCAATTCACTCACAGACGAAGCTCCTGCGTGATACTTCTTTCATATTCAGGCCTCAGGGGCCCAAAAGTGACGACAGTTGCAGGGGGCCGGTGACCCGCTTCGGATTCGAACGTGAACTGCGGGAACCAGAGGAAGGGGGCTCCCGCCTGAGAAGTCCTCGCAATTCACCCACAGACGAGGCTCCCGCCTGATACTTCTCCCATTTTCAGGCCTCAAGGGCCCAAAAGTGACGGCAGTTGCAGGAGGCCGATGACCCGCTCGGATTACTCATGGGAGGAGGCTCCCGCCTCAGACGCCCTCGCAATTCACTCACAGACGAGGCTGCCACCTGCTACGTCCTCAAAATGAATGTGAGCGCGTGTGAATGATGATGATGATGATGATGATGATGATGATGATGATGATGATGATGATGATGATGATGATGATGATGATGATGGTGATGGTGATGGTGATGGTGATGGTGATGGTGATGGTGATGGTGATGGTGATGGTGATGGTGATGGTGGTGGTGATGGTGATGGTGATGATGATGATGATGATGCTGATGGTGGTGGTGATGGTGGTGGTGGTGATGGTGGTGGTGACGATGATGATGATTATGATGATGATGATGATGATGATGATGATGATGATGATGATGATGATGATGATGATGATGATGGTGTTGATGCTGATGCTGATGCTGATGCTGATGCTGATGATGATGTGAGTAATGACGACGATGTGAGTGACGATGATGATGCTTGTGATGTCAGTGGTGATGATGATGACGATGTTAGTGACGATGATGATGCTTGCGATGCTAGATGTGATGATGAGGGTGGTTGTGATGATGGGGTGATTGATTGAGTGGATGATGATGATGATACTGATGTAGTGAGTGCTGATGAGGAGGTTGATGGTATTATGATGGCGATGGTGTGTGACTCATTGAGTGAGTGAGTGAGTGAGTGAGTGAGTGAGTGTGCTAAGAGAGAAGAGCTCATGAGGTCTGTATCGACTCATTGAGTGAGTGAGTGAAGACGGTGATGTTGCTGACGATGCTGTATGAGATTGAGTGGGCAGTGGGTGGTAAGTGAGTGGGTAAAGGAGTGATGATGCTGAGTGAATGAGAGTGTGTGGGCGAGTGAGTGAATGTGTATGTAAGTGATGATGATGTGGTGGTGATGGTAATCTGAGTGTGTGAGTAAGTGAGTGTCTATGTGGTAAGTGAGTGAGTGGGAAGAGAGGGGGTGTTCGTTTTCCTGAGTTCCTGCGCGGGGTGTCCAGAGAAAACAAGAACCCCACTTTGGATGTGGGGAAAAATGGTCAATGTTTTCAATTGTTTGGCCATTTTTCATATTTGTCACTATGCTTATGGTTCATCTAAAATCCTCCTGTAGGGGGACATGCCAGACTTAAAGTAATGTCGATGCCGCTGCTCCTCGTGGAGAGCCGTCGCCGCCACGGTTGGATGATCCTCGAAGTTCTGGTTATAACACAGCCCAGGACAGGTCCGGGAAGTAGGGGTACGGTTATCTTTCTCCCAGGATCAAGATGACACAGAGCGGAGTAGAGTGGAATGGAGGGGCATCTTGGGGGCCTTCTCGGGGCCTCTAAGGGATTTCTTGGCCTGCGGAGGCCGTCTTGGGGCCCTCTCTGGGCAGTCGTGTGGGTCCCTCTCTGGGCGCTTCAGGGCCGTCTTGGAGGTCTACGGGGCCGTCTTGGAGCCTCTTGGGATGTCTTTGGACCTCTTGGGCTGGCTTGCGGGCCTTCTGGGGTCTCCTGGGCCGTCTTGGGGCGATCTTGGGGGCCTTTGGGGCTGTTCCAGAGCGTCGGAAGCCCGAAAGGGCGAGAACGCTAAACGTATTGAAACACCAAACGGGGATCAATAATATTTGCCATCTGGAGGAGGTTCTCTTGGAGTCCTCTTGGTGCGTCTTGGAGGCCTCTTGGGCCGTCTGCAGGGCATCCTGGGCTCTCGTGGGGCCACATAGGGCCGTCTTGGGGACATTTTGGGGCAATCTTGGGTTCTCTTTGGGCCATCGTCGCCGTCTTGGAGGCCATCATCGTCATCTTGGAGGCATCTTGGAGGCCATCTTGGCTGTCTTGGAGGCGTCAGTGGCCTTGCCTCCCACCTTTTCGGCAACTCTCTGGGTGGCCGGTGGGCTAGACAAGGACCCATTGGGAACCTATTGAATCATCGAAACCATTAAGAAGTTTGGCACGCCGTGCACCCCTGTGGCAAGCCAGCAGGAGTCGGCAGATCGAAGACGCCCACGGCAAATCACCGCCCCCCCTGCCTTCCGAAAACGCCCATGCGGCTAAACGTTCGGCCGAAGTCTGGCCAAGTTATTCGATTATGTGTTCCCCCAACCGTTGAGGAACCCCGAGGGGGACACTTGGAAGAGGAACAGAAAGGTGGAGTAGGCAGAGGAGGAGGAGGAGGAGGAGGAGGAGGAGGAGGAGGAGGAGGAGGAGAGGGAGACGAACGAGGACGAGAAGGGATGAACAAATTACGCCTCTTGAGGCCCTCTTGGGGCTTCCTGGGGGGTTCCTGGGAGCCTCTTTGCGGCCTCTGAGGGGCCTCTTGGGGACTTCCGTGGGCCTACAACTAAAGGAACTCTTAGCCTTCGGATGCCGTGTTGGGGCCCCCTCTGGGCAGTCGTGGGTCCCTCCTTGGGCGCTTTAGGGCCGCCTTGGAGTTCTATGAGGCCGTATTGGGGCCTCTTAGGGCTGTTTTGCGGGCCTCTCGGGGGTTTCATGGGCCGTCTTTGGGCAATCTTAGGGGCCTGCGGCTGCGGAGCTGCTCTGGAGGGCCGGAACCCCGAGAAGTCCAGAACGTTGAGATCACTGAAAATCGGGGGTTGACAGACCTCCTACCCTGACACGTCGATTGAGGAATCGGCCGTTTTCGGTTCGCGAGAGGGCGTCGCGGCCGTCATTTTTGCGGGTCCAGGTCCGTCGGTTTCGGTCCCAGGCCGTTTTCACTAAGGGGAGGTTTATTAAAGGGAGGTTTGTCCACCGCCGAGAAAAACAGAAGGTGGATCAATAATGTTTGCCTCCTGGCTGTCGTCGTGGATGCCTTTGGCGGCGTCTTGCTTGGAGGCCTCTTGGGCCGTCTGGAGGGCATCTTGGGCTGCCTTGGAGCCATCTTGGGCCGTCTTGGGGACATCTTGGGGCCCTCTTGTGTTTGCTTCGGGCCATCGCAGCCGTCTTGGATGCCATCTTGGGGCCGACTGTGACAGGTGAACAGAGGGACTCTGCATTTTCCGCGGGGCTGGCGTGCTGGGCCGGAGGGTGGCACCTCTGTTGCAAACCACAAGGGGGCGGCGGATCGAAGACGCCTACGGCGAATCACCGCCGCCCCCTGCCTTTGTGGAAGCGCCTATGTGGCCGAACGTTGAGGCCAGACCTGCCAAGCTATCGGACCATGTGTTCCCCGAATCGGTTTGGAAAGCCTTCGGGGAACACGTGGGCATCTTGAAGGTCATCTTGGCCGCCTGGAGGCCATTTTGATCCTTTCGGGCCTTCTTGGAGGAGGAGGCCTCCGAGATGGCCGTCTTGGAGGCCATCTTGAGCGTCTTGGAGGCCTCTTCGGCCGTCTTGAGGGCCTCTTGGGGCCGTCTTGGGCCGCTTGGGCGATCTTTGGGG